GGATATCATCAGCCACTTTGCTCAAAACACCACAAATATATGCCGTATTGTCCCATTAGGCTGCCAGAACCTCTGTACCGCAGTACTGACCTCTGAGCAGTCATTTGGTGGGGATAGTATCTGTCTATGCTTGTAGCATGACTCCAGGGATGGTAATGTGTCTGTCACTTTGGTCCTAGTATCTCAACAACTGTTGGATGGATTGCCATTCAATTTTGTACAGACATACATGCTCCCCAGAGGATGAATCCTAATGACTTTGGTGACCACCTAAATTTTCCTCTTAGCGCCACCAGCAGGTCAAAACTTTTATTAATGCTGAAAAATAGGTTTTAGCTCACTGTGCGTACTGTAAACTCTTACTCTTCCTGTTCCTGTTGCTTTTTTTTTGCCTTGAACAGAGTATGGGGGAGAAATTTGAAGTGATCAATGAGTCACTGGTATTGATCAGCAGCCCTGTCAACGCTGTCAGATATATTATGAAGATTTCATGCTATGGGCTAAGAAAAAAGAACTAGACCAGTTCCCCTTTGAATTGAATTATGACACAAACACAAAGAAGAAACGCTTCAGGTGAGATGAATGCTGTGCTGGAAATACAAGAAAGCAGAAAGTCAAAAAGACATATTTTAAGTGGGAAAATGACAAACACGGGGGCATGTGTACCTTGTTTTTGAAGAAGAAGCAATAAAATGTTAGGAATGATTGGGGGAGGTTAGCGATGTTACTCACCATTACTCACTACTTGACAGACCGGCTCCAGATTGGAGGAGCTTTGCCGGCTTCCCTTCACCTCTCCGACTGGGTTCAGAGATTCACCCTTGGCAACAGCCGAACTTCGGATTTTACCCAGAATTCTTTGCACTTTATTTCACGCGCTTGGCACCGTTTCAGGCAGCATTTGATGACGTCAGAAGAGACATTGCTGTGTTCTTTAAATCTTTTCTCCCTCTGCCTTGCTCTCTGTTTAGAGCTCTCTGGCTCTCTCTCTTTCTCTCTCCCCCTTCCCATATTTCCTGTCATCGTCCTCTTGTCTTTGCCATAATTTTTCACTTTCTCTCTTTCCCTCACTGTGTCGTCTCAGTGTCACTCTTGAACTGACTTTCATGCTCTGCAGTCATCAAAAAGAATAGTGTTTCTCCACTGCAGCACTATATATCAGTAAATATACTGTACGTTATACGGCCGAACGTAAATGGACATTACACCCAACATGCCATTCCAAAACTATGACTACTAAAATGCTGAAATAAAAGCCTCCAGGTTGTCCTCCAGATTTTGACACCTGGCTCTGGGAATTTGCTCCCATTCAGACACAAGAGCATTTGAGAGGTCGACCTGGCGTAGCTTGCAGTCGACATTCCAGTTCATCCTAAAGGTGTTGGATGGGGTTGAGGTCTGGGCTCTATGCAGGCCTTTTCAGGCTCTTCCACATCAGAACAATTGCTTTATTTGCAAGGATAGAGCTGTGAAGATTAACCAATACTGAAAACTGGTGGAAGACTCTGAGATTCTGCTCCGTTGACACACAGCCACAGACAAAACCCAAATTCTGCATGAAACTTGGAAAAGAAATATCCATACCACTGTCAAATCTGATCTTTCCAAGCAGTGTCTCTCTCTCTCTCTCTCTCTCTTCCCTGTGTACTCCTGTGCCTCCAGTCTGTGGTGAGTTGCTCAGTTTGTGTCCTTTTTCTGCTAGCTGGCTATGTTCCCCAATTGCATACCTTTGTTCAAACCAGCCTCACATTCCCACACTGAAATAAATGTTGGGACTACAGTGTTCAATCTACATCTACATGGCATTTGCAAGTAGCAGTTAATGCTACTTTTAACTGGCCCCAACACCTTCCCGTTACTGAAGACATGCTGTTTTATTTACTGGGACATGTCCCTACACAGTGTTATTGAAAATTCCAAATAGAAAAGGATGACACTGAACCAGGAAGTTCCAAGTTCCAATATCCAGTATGCAGCATTATAGTGACACATTCATCCTCTTTAGGGACTAGCTTAACATTATGCAGTGTGTCCCTACCTGCATGGTTAGTGCTGATTGTGAAATTTTCAGTTTTGGGTGCATTTCTGAGTCAATACTTCAAATAAAAACTGGGGAATTTATACAGCCTAAATCATTCATTACGCTGCTATTATTAAAAAATAAAAATATCCGAACCGCAGCTCAATGGAAGCAGATTGGATAGGCTTTGAAATGTTGTTACTAGGTATGGGCAGGAGTACTAGAGTATTCTTTCAGCGTATTGAGTAATCTCATTTAGATCTGCACATGCACAGCCGCAGATAATGTCCAATGCTTTCAGTCATCGTTTATCTAACATTACAAGAATAAAAGCGATGTTTGGAAGTAAATTTCCAAATAGTAGACAAAATGGCCGTGCAGTGCAAGCTGTGTAACATTAAACATTAAAGGTGGCTGCAGATTAAAAAGTAAACCAGCTAGCTTTATTATCATCCAGATGAATGAATTATGGAAATTGCAGCAACATGTTAATGTTTGTGGATATGGTTTTTCTTATTGTTGGCTAATACAGTCTGTGCAGTGCAGAAAGGTTGGATAACTTCAACCCCACACGCATTTTTGCTTGGGTGTTCATATCGAAACCTATCCCCCCCAGAATACTCAATAATAATTAAATGCAAGTACTCAAATATGATAAGTACTTAAAATGCCAATCCTTAATAGTCACAAATGTATAGTTTTGGTATCAGATTGTGGTTTAACCCTGCATTTTCACGTTGAACCTTGCTACCACAAAGTTTGAAGGCGCACGGCTGTCTAAATATAATCGCATGTCATAGCCCCATAGTATAAATATAATTTTAAAAGACAATTCTGTTCTCTTCCTTGTCTTTGGCTTTTCTTTTCTTTTAATAACTTATTCATTCATTTTCAGAATCCATTTTCTTTCAGCGGCAGTCTCCCCGCTCTGTGTCTCAGTTTAATTTTCTCTCCTTCTCTCAGTCTGGTTCTGCCTCTTATCCACAGCCTAACACTGCTCTCACATCCTCCCTCTCCTGAGCCGCATCCATATCAGCTGTGTTAGAGGAAGCTCGTTTAAATGGGTGCAGGAGTCTATCTGGAGGTGCTGTGTGTGTGTGTGTGTGTGTGTGTGTGTGTGTGTGGACCTACAAGCCAGTGTGTGTCTGGTTTCTGTGCGCATGTACTGTGTATGAGTTTATGTGTAAACGTACTCAGCATCACTGTAGGCATGTGTTGATGGTCTATAGTATATGGTCCTAATCACATCCCCTCACTTCTTTCTTTCAATCTCTCTGTCTCTCTCTCTCTCTCTCTCTCTGTCTCTGCTTATTTTGTCGTTGAAGTTTCGTGCCTGTTGGCTTGAATTTAACTTTAGAAATTTGTCATTAAGAACATGCATTAGTGTAATTAAATATTATGCAGTGATAACATCGGACTTAAACTTGTTTTCATATTTTGAAATGTTTGCAGATGACCATGAATGCAGCTGATGCTGTCATTCCTGTGGAAAGCTCCCAGCATGCTGTCTTGTTAGAGACGCAGATGACTGAAACTTTGAGTCCATGAGACACTAATCAACAGGTACATTCATGTTTAGCACTTAAACTTTACTCCTAGAATATTTCTAACTCACCGTTTGTTGCTTTTTATGCCCTTTAAGCAGGTAAATAAGCTGTTTTTTTAAATGCATCTAGAAACATAATGGTAATAGGATATTCAGGACAGATTTTAATGTTCATAGGGATGTTACTTTTGATTAAATATCACTCTATTCTGGGACATTCACGACGTCCCCATAGCACATCTTACATCAGTGTATGAATAGAAACTGTGTGTTAAGTATCTGACAACCTAGAGACTTGGTCTAGCATTGGTCCCCATAAGGAACCACGACATGGTGTGTGATATGTCCCCACTAAGCTTGTTTATTCAATATGTGTGAAAACAGGCAGAGGTTGATGGAGGAGGAGGGAATATTGAATTTGATGATTTTGTCGTTGAAGTTTCGTGCCTGTTGGCTTGAATTTAACTTTAGAAATTTGTCATTAAGAACATGCATTAGTGTAACTAAATATTATGCAGTGATAACATCGGACTTAAACTTGTTTTCATATTTTGAAATGTTTGCAGATGACCATGAATGCAGCTGATGCTGTCATTCCTGTGGAAAGCTCCCAGCATGCTGTCTTGTTAGAGACGCAGATGACTGAAACTTTGAGTCCATGAGACACTAATCAACAGGTACATTCATGTTTAGCACTTAAACTTTACTCCTAGAATATTTCTAACTCACCGTTTGTTGCTTTTTATGCCCTTTAAGCAGGTAAATAAGCTGTTTTTTAAATGCATCTAGAAACATAATGGTAATAGGATATTCAGGACAGATTTTAATGTTCATAGGGATGTTACTTTTGATTAAATATCACTCTATTCTGGGACATTCACGACGTCCCCATAGCACATCTTACATCAGTGTATGAATAGAAACTGTGTGTTAAGTATCTGACAACCTAGAGACTTGGTCTAGCATTGGTCCCCATAAGGAACCACGACATGGTGTGTGATATGTCCCCACTAAGCTTGTTTATTCAATATGTGTGAAAACAGGCAGAGGTTGATGGAGGAGGAGGGAATATTGAATTTGATGATTTTGTCGTTGAAGTTTCGTGCCTGTTGGCTTGAATTTAACTTTAGAAATTTGTCATTAAGAACATGCATTAGTGTAACTAAATATTATGCAGTGATAACATCGGACTTAAACTTGTTTTCATATTTTGAAATGTTTGCAGATGACCATGAATGCAGCTGATGCTGTCATTCCTGTGGAAACTCCCAGCATGCTGTCTTGTTAGAGGCGCAGATGACTGAAACTTTGAGTCCATGAGACACTAATCAACAGGTACATTCATGTTTAGCACTTAAACTTTACTCCTAGAATATTTCTAACTCACCGTTTGTTGCTTTTTATGCCCTTTAAGCAGGTAAATAAGCAGTTTTTTAAATGCATCTAGAAACATAATGGTAATAGGATATTCAGGACAGATTTTAATGTTCATAGGGATGTTACTTTTGATTAAATATCACTCTATTCTGGGACATTCACGACGTCCCCATAGCACATCTTACATCAGTGTATGAATAGAAACTGTGTGTTAAGTATCTGACAACCTAGAGACTTGGTCTAGCATTGGTCCCCATAAGGAACCACGACATGGTGTGTGATATGTCCCCACTAAGCTTGTTTATTCAATATGTGTGAAAACAGGCAGAGGTTGATGGAGGAGGAGGGAATATTGAATTTGATGATTTTGTCGTTGAAGTTTCGTGCCTGTTGGCTTGAATTTAACTTTAGAAATTTGTCATTAAGAACATGCATTAGTGTAACTAAATATTATGCAGTGATAACATCGGACTTAAACTTGTTTTTCATATTTTGAAATGTTTGCAGATGACCATGAATGCAGCTGATGCTGTCATTCCTGTGGAAAGCTCCCAGCATGCTGTCTTGTTAGAGACGCAGATGACTGAAACTTTGAGTCCATGAGACACTAATCAACAGGTACATTCATGTTTAGCACTTAAACTTTACTCCTAGAATATTTCTAACTCACCGTTTGTTGCTTTTTATGCCCTTTAAGCAGGTAAATAAGCTGTTTTTTAAATGCATCTAGAAACATAATGGTAATAGGATATTCAGGACAGATTTTAATGTTCATAGGGATGTTACTTTTGATTAAATATCACTCTATTCTGGGACATTCACGACGTCCCCATAGCACATCTTACATCAGTGTATGAATAGAAACTGTGTGTTAAGTATCTGACAACCTAGAGACTTGGTCTAGCATTGGTCCCCATAAGGTACCACGACATGGTGTGTGATATGTCCCCACTAAGCTTGTTTATTCAATATGTGTGAAAACAGGCAGAGGTTGATGGAGGAGGAGGGAATATTGAATTTGATGATTTTGTCGTTGAAGTTTCGTGCCTGTTGGCTTGAATTTAACTTTAGAAATTTGTCATTAAGAACATGCATTAGTGTAACTAAATATTATGCAGTGATAACATCGGACTTAAACTTGTTTTTCATATTTTGAAATGTTTGCAGATGACCATGAATGCAGCTGATGCTGTCATTCCTGTGGAAACTCCCAGCATGCTGTCTTGTTAGAGACGCAGATGACTGAAACTTTGAGTCCATGAGACACTAATCAACAGGTACATTCATGTTTAGCACTTAAACTTTACTCCTAGAATATTTCTAACTCACCGTTTGTTGCTTTTTATGCCCTTTAAGCAGGTAAATAAGCTGTTTTTTAAATGCATCTAGAAACATAATGGTAATAGGATATTCAGGACAGATTTTAATGTTCATAGGGATGTTACTTTTGATTAAATATCACTCTATTCTGGGACATTCACGACGTCGCCATAGCACATCTTACATCAGTGTATGAATAGAAACTGTGTGTTAAGTATCTGACAACCTAGAGACTTGGTCTAGCATTGGTCCCCATAAGGAACCACAACATGGTGTGTGATATGTCCCCACTAAGCTTGTTTATTCAATATGTGTGAAAACAGGCAGAGGTTGATGGAGGAGGAGGGAATATTGAATTTGATGATTTTGTCGTTGAAGTTTCGTGCCTGCTTGAATTTAACATTAGAAATTTGTCATTAAGAACATGCAGTAGTGTAAATAAATACTAAGCAGCGATTACATCAAATTGAACACTTGTTTTTCATATTTATGTTTACAATTACAATATTTTAGATGTAGTTATATTTTAAGGCTGTCTTTCAAACGTAAAAAAAAAGTCAATGTTTTGCCTAAACTTACAAATCGCAAATGTTGTAAATTTGATTTGTCCTAATTATTCAGATTCATTTTCAAGGTATATTTTGTGACAGCACAAACGGTGTGTTTGCAGACAAAGGAATATTATCTATGTTCAGAAGTATAAACATTCACCAAGTCAGACTTCAGTTTCAAAATATTTTCTTGTGTTTAGACTTTTGCTGTTTTTAGGACCATTTGTTAACATCACTACTCCAAATATTTAAGTGTGTGAGAAAAGTATAATATAACATTTGCAATTAAGTGGTTGATTATCACTGTAGGAATTTTAAACAATTTTAATTGTATTGTTATAATATAGTACACTGGGATTGTGTTCAGTTCCAAGGATATATGTCTAAGTAACTTCTTTTTTGTCCTTAGATTAAAGGCACAGATGTTGAAGATTCAAATGAAGTATCCGACTCTATACAAGTTTGTATTGTTGCTTTCAGTTTTGTCTTGAGAGAACGCAAATGAGCAGGACTCAATAAAAAGTTTAAATGTATAATTTAAATGAGAGTTTGACTTCTTGAACTAAGGAAATTATTTTTTACTATGAAGTAATGCAGCAAACAACACAGACAAACATGAATACTAGTTTTAGGGTTGTTGAGTATTCTGTGACTGAGAAGTACAATATTCCACAGTTTCTGGGTAGTTGACTGTGGTTAAAAATAAGAACCATGTGAGACGTAAACAAAGAATAACCCTTACAGTGAAATTAAGGTTGAAAAGTTTGATGGGTGAGACAACAATTTAGTAATTCACTACTAAATTCTTGGTACTTAAGTGACCCCTGATATCAAGATTAAGTTAGAACAATGTCTCTAGTATAAATGATATGTAAATCATTTGATTCCCATTTTATTTGTATAACAAATTGTATGTTTACCCTGTTTTCGGATAAATAAAAACTAAAAAAGTATATTGGTTCTGGAATAAATAATGTTATTGTGTTATGTACAGTACTTTTGTGCAGTTTGGTTTACAATGTGGAATTGTGATTCACAACAGTATCCAACCCTACTTAAGAATCCTCTTATATTACCACAAACCACGAGCACAGTAGTTCTTAAAGCTTAAAATACACATTTTCTTTAGTGAAAATATCCCTAATGACACACTTTCTGCATTAATTTTGGTGCTGCTAAAGTAGATTATATCATTTGCATTATTGTGGTTTAATTCTAGTATTTGGTCTGATGCCTGTGGATAGCAGCTTGATAACTTTATGAAAAATCTATTATTAAAGACATAACCTGGTTGGTAGAGGACAGCTCCATTGCAGCTTCATAGCAGTTTACAGTACGAAGGAATCACAAAGTGGTTATATTATGCACTGCCATTGTTGTAGTGAACCTTGTGATCAAAAGAAGACAGGTAAAATGCAATAATCTGAAGATTATATCACTTAAGCTTGTTGTTTTACCATGGTCCCCATTAATCAATTGGAAATCTGTGTAAATTATGCAAATTATATTTAAATGAGGTCCCCCACAAACATGTTTACTGGATTTTACATAGGTCCCCAGTTAGCATGATGAAAACCTTACTTCATCAATTCAGATATTTGAAGTCGTGTATGAGCTAACCAACCAATGGTGAGTGTGCCTGATTTTTTTCATACCTCTAGAACCTCTAGAAAGGGTGGTCCCCGCAAGTGATGATCAGAAATTTGGTCCCCATTGCAAATGGTAACCAGTATGTGTGTGTGTGTGTGTGTGTGTGTGTGTGTGTGTGTGTGTGTGTGTGTGTGTGTGTGTGTGTGTGTGTGTGTGTGTGTGTGGACCTGCAAGCCAGTGTGTGTCTGGTTTCTGTGCGCATGTACTGTGTATGAGTTTATGTGTAAACGTACTCAGCATCACTGTAGGCATGTGTTGATGGTCTATAGTATATGGTCCTAATCACATCCCCTCACTTCTTTCTTTCAATCTCTCTGTCTCTCTCTCTCTCTCTCTCTCTGTCTCTGCTTAGCTCTCTCGGCTCTGATTTGGTCTTCTGCGGGCCGTGGTGACCAGCAGAGCAGAGAAATTGCCTGTTATCTAGGGGGTCGATTCTTCATGGGGTCCCGTAAATTGCTTTGTATTGACACCCTGTCAGAGTTGGGATCCTCATGTTAACCCCCAGATCTGCCCTCGAGTGAGGTGACTCTCACCAACACCAACCAAACCCACGCTGTCCTACTCCATGCCCGGAATGAATGCTGAAATAGAAGCAGCGTGGTGGGGGGTGAGAGTGGTTAGTGCGTGCCAAGGTTTGGCTACTTCAGAGGGTGCCTTGCGAGATTCATCAACATAAATTAGAATTTTTAAAAACGTTTTAATTCTAGTTAGAGTGAAGGCATCTCATAATTCAGATGGATGTCCACGGTGTACGACCCTTGACGGCTCCAGTACCGCTTCCTAATCTTGTGGGAGGCATTTCATCAAAATCCATTATATTAGGATGACAGCTACGGTGGCTAGCAGGGCTCACACAGCCCACGGAGGGTGTGATAGATGTGATTGTGAGCCACCCACATGGTGATGGAAAGGAGACGTTTCTGGTTAGTTCTGGAACTGCATGTCATCTTTGACAGGTCTCACATATGTACATATATGGCATATTTTCTTTTTTGCTATTTGTTTGGCAGTGCCTTATAGCAGTTGCTCGTGAGATGTAATTGCCCGCCACAGTGCTGCAGACGCTGCCCGCCCTTTCTCAAAATGATGCAGTCTGCTTAAAAGTTCAACTAACGAGGTATCGAAGGGCATTATCCTGCTTATACCACAGTCAATAACCAAAGAAGAAAATTCAGATTCAGATTCATTCTTTATTGTCCTCAGTGGAGTCTGTACAAAGAGCACCTTCAGCATGAGTTCTACACACAAACTACACATCGTACACATATACAGACAATATACACATATCTACACATATAACACAGGAGTGACATCGTTCTCTTGTCTGTGAGTTTAATGCTCTTATAGCGCAGGGTACAACCTTTTTTCCAAAGCGTGCCTTTTTGTAGAGCAGCTGTCTGTATCTACAGCCAGATGGGAGAAGGGTAAAGCATGAGTTGAGAGGGTGGCTGGGATTGTGTACTATGGTAGTTGCTCTACGAGCAGTGGCAGTATTAATAAGGGCTGGTAGGTTGGGAGTGGGAAGACCTATTACTTTGTTGTCATACATAAACTCAGGACTCTCTCAGTCAAACTACACCCACTGCTTCTCCTGTACCGTAGTATCATTGAAATAAGATCATTATTTTATATTTTTATGTGTTTTGTAATCAAGATCTGTTTCCCTGGTAACACCTGAGTTCCTTCCTGATACCTGGAAAAATCATTACCATTCCATAAGGTTCTAATGCAATGGAAATGTTGTTCACTACTCCAGTAAATAGGAAGAAAATGACTTGGCAACAGGAGATATTTCTAGTTCCCTCGGCTCATAGAGCGCTTTGGCTCTCCTACGAGGCAGAGAGCTTACATTATGAGAGCAGGATGCAAAGTCAAAGTATCAGTGAATTCAGAGGGGCAGTGTAGGGGCTTGTGTGTTACAGTCTCCATCCTGTGGAGTTCAGGGGATGAGCCACTGAAGGAATACACTCAGTGTTGTAAGATATTTTCAGGAGATATTTAGATTTAGTTTTATTTCTGTTTATTTTTTTTTTAGTTCAGCACATCAATTCAGCACAGTAAACAGAAAGTTTCACTGGAACACATTAGGAATTAATGGACACCAAGCAGCCAATCAGAATTGAATATTTACCCAGACCATGGTATAAATAACTTTAAATACACTTGTATTATTGTTACTATTACATTTCCAGTCTGTGTATGGACGTACAGTGAGTAGGCAATTTTGGTAAACCAGGTATATCAGAATCAGAATCAGTCATCCGTCAGAGTGCCCAGAATCAACCTATTCTAGCCACCAGGGACAAGTGGGGGTTGTGTGGAGGGTAGAGCTACACAATTAATTAAAATATTGAATTGGCAATATGGCCAACTGCAATATCCAAATCACAATTTAGGTAAAGTGTGTGACAAAACAGCAATATAATGTAGCCCTGGCCCTACAAATCTAGTTTTCTAGATCTCCATGAAATGTAATAGTTTTTTATTCTGTGAAAATGGAAATATAATAAATATAAATATATTATAAAATAAAATATAATATTAATGATAAATAAATTAGTAGATGAGTGGATAGGAAGTTGGCAGTGTTGCGACAGTTGTGGATGTATGAGTTTGCCCCACACGTATGATTATAATCATCATCATCATTAATATAAATTGTAACAATCAAATTACAAAATATAAAAAGAAAAGGTTAAAAAGACGAAGCATTACGGCACAAATACATCTTTTATCTTTGGAAAAGGGGATAATTATATGAATACAAATATGTTGAAATTAATCAAAAGACATGGACGATGCTGCATCGATGCAGTGGCCGACCATAATCGATTATAACACAATGATGTTGCTCATTAATTTTCCGGCCGCGGCATAAACATTCAAATGAAAAATAACATTCTCAGTAGCCTAACCCGTTAGACCTATGATAGACTCTGGTCTCATCCGGGTCTCATTTACGTCATGACGTCATTCGTCAATATTCGCATGTACGTGCCAGAGCAACATGGCTGAAGGTGGTTGTGAGAACGTCCTTAAAAACGCTCCAAACATTATAAAAGCTGAGATATGGAAGCATTTCGGATTTTACCAACAGGCTGGGAAGCACAAACTGGATAAGTCGCATGCGATATGCAAAACCTCTCTCACCAAAATTAAATGCGTTGGGAACACTACCAACTTAAGGAATCACGTTAGCCATTTCCATCCTGAGTTGCTAGCAACACCTGCCGCGGAAAATGCAAACCCTGGGCCAGCGACTCCGAGGATTGATGCAACTCTGTTTTCAATACCACCCAACTCCGAGCGAGGAAAGAGAATAACCCAGTCTATGGGAGTCTTCATAGCAAAAGGTTTACAACCTTATTCCATCGTGGAAAATTAGGGATTTCAGTATATGGTGAGGATGCTTCAGCCGCGGTACAAGATACCATCGCGTAGCACCTTTTCAGAAAAAGTGGTGCCTGGTCTTTACAACGACACCAAAGCCCAGATGATCGCTTCCATGAGCAAGGCAACACGAATTGCCATAACGTGTGATTCCTGGACTTCTGTGGCAACGGAATCATTTGTTACCGTGACAGCACATTATATAAATGAGGACTGGCAGATGGTGTCCCATGTACTGCAGACAAGAGCCCTCTGCGAATCCCACACAGGTGCGCATCTGGCGGAGCTATTGTCCAAAGTTTTGCAAGAATGGCAGATTACCGACAAAAATGTAGCGCTCGTGTCAGACAATGCCTCAAACATGGTCGTCGCAGCACAAGTTGGGAAATTTCCGCACGTAAGATGTTTCGCGCATACACTCAATCTCACATCCCAGCGGGCTCTCAAAGTGACCTCGCTCGCCAGGCTTCTGGGGAGAATCCGACGTATCGCAACA